TTTTTTCCTTTTTTTTTTTTTTTTTTTTTTTTTTTTTTGTGCAACCAACTAAAAATATAATAGTAGCCAAAAAGGAAGACACAAATTTCTGTTGTCGTTGTTGTTATTGTCGTTTGTTGAGTATCAGTTAAAATAACTGGGATATATTAATGTGAAACGAGGAGAGGCGATGGGAATTAGGAGGGAGAAAGAAAAAAAAAAAGATTGTAAAAGTGGACAAATCAGTGGTAACAAAAGGTAATTGAAATGAGGAAAAAAAAATTTAAAAAAGTTGCGGAATTAAACATTGACTACTGGTTTTTTTTTTTTTAACTGAGTTGACGCCGGAAACAGATGACAAGAAGTAATAACCAAATTTATTGAGTTTTAAATTTACTACATTAAATTTTTTTAAATACCGTTTTCTTGTCTTCTGTTGCGTTCTTAACCAACTTTTCCCCTTTACAGCTAATCGCGTATAAGTAAAAATAATTATTGCTTGTCAGTAAATTTCATTTATTTGTAACTCAGTTGCTTATTTCTTGGACATTACTTCAGTTTTTCTACCATCTTTTAAAATGATAATGTTCTGAGATGGACAAGGAAGGAGGAGGTCGGGGTAGGTGAAGAGTTGGTCGAAGAGTCTGCGTGACTTTTATGGATTTGCTGGAAGGGAATGAAAAATGAGAAGAGGGGAGGAATGGGAAGAGGAATGGGGGAGACGGGGTCAGAAGTGGAGTGGGAGGAGCGTTGTTGTTCTTTTTTTTTTTTTGCTTGAACTTTCACAAATTTTTTCACGGTTTGAAAGAACCGGCTAGGATAATGGAAAAGAACAAAAAGTAACTAACGAACGAACAAAGCAATTAAGCAATCAACCAACTAGCTGATTGATTAACAAACTAACTGGCTAGCTGACCCAGAACAAACAGACTAATTAGTTTCAAAATTGTCGAAACTTAACGGTGTTGTTTTTCTCTTCCTTGCCAGACGGTGATAATTTCAACGGCTGATGAAAAACGAGTTGCAGTACGGGGTATAATTGTCACCATCTTATTTGTTATTAATTAAAATGTTTGTTTCAATCTGTTTTTTTCGTACATACATATATGCTTTTATTTTTATTTCATTTTATTTATTTATTTTTTATTTTTATTTTTATTTTTTGCTTTTGGAGAAGGTTGGAAGAGTAAATCATTTACAGTAACTAATGAT